TCTTATGCTTAATTCAAATTTATTTCTCTCACTAATTAAACGTTTCCTGATGGGTATCACCACAATCCATTTTTCAACAGAGATAGACTGGCCTTAGTAGTTTGTGAAATGGTAGTACCATAGTGTAGTGGCCTAACCATTGGACCACGACTCTGGGGATCAAGATTAGCTTGCCTACTAGGCTCCACTAGGTTACTCTCAGTCCCAGAAAATCCTGAGATAGGATCACCTTAGGGTTGCCATAAGTCAGAAACAACTTGAAGCACGCAACAAGCTTCCTATTAGGCTGTTGCAATATATGCTAGTAGGAGATTGCCTTTAAAATAACTCAGTAATTCCAGGAAGTAATTCCTCCAGCAGGAAGACTGTTGACTAGAACAACTTCTAGAAACCATACGATACCATTTGCAAAGAAATTACACTGGCTAGAAATGCAGTATTCCTCCAGTCTTACTACAACACACTGGTGGTGATGAAATGTGAAGCCCTAAATGTTGCTGCTGCTGTTGTGTGCCTTCAAGTCACTTCCAACTTATGGTGAACCTATCTTTCTTAGAAAGATTTGTTCCGAGGGGATTGCCATTGCCTTCCTCTGAGGATGAGACAGTGCAACTTGCCCAAGGTTACCCAGCAGGTTTCCATGGTAAAGTGGGGATTCAAACCCTGGTCTCCAGCATCCTAGTCCAACACACAAACTCAGTGGCATCACTAGGGTGGTGTGGACCATATCAAGTGACACTAGCATCTCAATACCCCTCCCCTGGAAAAAAAGAGGGGACTCTTCTTGACATGCTGCTCCTTTCAGTGGGGTAGCTAGGATGGGGGAGAAGCCACAAAACTTTTTCTCTGCTTCCCCCCTCCTGCAGCCTCCCCCCCCCCCTATTTGTTTGGCTGTTTTCTACCATTATCCTCTGGCTGGGGGTGTTTGTTCTGACCTCCCTTTTCCCATCTGCACCCTCATCCCGGGAAGTCCATGAGGGTGATACCATGAGTACTGGGTGACAGCAACCCTAATGATTCCACTGCCCAAACTACTACACACTGGTCAAATTGCTACGGACCTCAAAAATTGAAGGAATGGCTCTCCAAATATGTGCCTGCCTATGGATTGTTGTCTACTAGACAACAGAGGCTCTCCTTTGTGTTTCACCAGTGGGCAATACACCGTGTGAGGACACAGAATCATAGTTCTCTAGTTCTGGATTGCCCTGCCCATGGAGGACTGACTGGTTCCAAGGCTTACTTCATTCCAAAACCAAGGGAAAACATGACTTTTTATCAGAGCTTTTAAGCCTTAGCCCACATCTATATAGGTATATAGTTTGAAACAGCTTAAAATGTTCAATATGATTTTTTTTCTTAATGGTTATATTTGAACTGTTTTAAACTTTGTTTTAAATTTGTGTTATTTGTATGCCATTCAGAGAGTGTGGGATATAAATATATTAATGTATTAACACTGATCTAGTACAGAGTTTCTGAGTACAGAGTATATGTGTGTGAGAGATGGAGGAAATGGGGCAGTCTATTTGAAAAGCACCTTGTATTTCCATTTTTATAGATCAGCATGGAAGATTTATTTTTTGAACTACAATTCTCAGGGCCCGCGCCACAGCATGTGCATAACCATGTTGTTGCTAGCTACATAATAATATTTTGAGGTTGCTGTAA